AGTTTCCGATAGTTCCTTGTACATAAAATTCTTTCTTAATTGCAGTTTAACACGATTTATGAGTTGCTGTTCAAAAGTGACTAAGGGGAGTCACTCGTTCATTCAGACAAAGCATTGTTGGTGGTTAAATTGAGTAAAATATCGTTTAACTGAACAATGTATTTCCTAAAAATAGAACCTTGTTAATCCAAACACGTGCGACCCAAGATCATTTCGAATAACGAACCTAAAAAAGAGAATAACAAATCAGCAAAATTGAAGAATTGAAATATTTTTAAAGCTTTGAATAGTTGCTCCGAAGGAAACTCTTTCTATCATTACGAGGTCCTGTGTATCCTACTTAAAACTTGGTACAAGTACCGGATACACCAGAAAGCATTCATACTTACACATCATTACATTACTTTATTCATTCAAGTTTCAGTCAGCGAAAACTGAAAGAAAACAGGGCTGTTCATTACGTCACCACGGCTAATTTTACGGCACTTCGGGCAGTAAGAGCATATTGGTATGGAATGGTATTTGGGTTTTAGGGCGACTTGGACCATTAAAGGTCTATTTGCGCCTAACACATCACATGTCTTCTAACACGAGCAAAGTGAGTAGTAACGGAAATGAGAATATTTTTATAATATATATAATTTTCCCGATGCAGTCCCGAAATTTAATATGACCAAAATTATTGAAATGACCAATAAGATATGTTTTGGCCTGTACTCTACTTCTTAAATTTAGTCTGACATGATATGATTGTGGCTTGTGAATTAAATTAAATAATGTTTCACTGTCTCGGGAGTATGGTTATCCCAGCGCACACCTTCAGGGGAGACCTCTTTATCAATGACATTGCGGTAAGCTTTTTACCCACAGTGTCCAAGACGAAGTCCTGGAATTATGACTTCCTCACGTTTCTTTCGTCGACGAATTGTCCAATTTGATTTTACAGAAGGACAAACTGTGTTCATGTGTCGACCAGCAGTCCCAGCACCCTACAACTGTTGCAAGCTTGAGGTGAATGAATGATTTGACTAAAATGGAGTCGAAATCATTTGGTTGAGGTCTGAATTCTGATATCGTTACCTCAGGAATTTGAAAGCCAGATTTCGCAAGTTGGTCATCTTATTTCCATGCAGCCCAACATGAGCTGGAATCCACACAATATCACAGATAATATACTTTGAGTTAAACAATGTATCAAGCTTTAACATTTCATAAACAATGTCACTTTGTGAAACATTGATATCAGATTTCATTGCCTTAACAGCTGCCATTGAGTCAGTAAATATAACTGCCTCATAATCATATTCATTAACCCACCTTAGGGCTTCAGCCGAAAATACTGAGAGATGGTCATTTAGCCTGACACACTTAATTCAGATGTAAAAATCTGTAATCTGGTGTAGTTGCAAAGGCACCCGTGCAGATTCGCAAAGCCGTTGACTGAATGCGGTCAGGTTTGGAATGATGACATTTTGAGGCAGACTGAAATACTTGGCAGCTACAGTCAAGGCTTGATAATATTAATGCTTTATGAAGCAATACCATAAATGATTTATCAGCTCCCCACTTCGTTTTGGCAATGCATTTCAGCAATTTTAGAAACTTATTACATTTGCTCTCAACATGAGATTTACGAGAACCCCATATTGGACTCCGATGAAAATAAACACCATGAAATTAAAACTCGCGTACAATTTCTATTTTGTGGTCATCAAGGGCTAGATCTATAGTTTGAGGAATATCACGCCTCCGTATCATCACTCACTTAGAATACCACACAGTAATGATATCTAAGCATTTCTAAATCAATTCAATAGCAAACTTAATTTTCAAAATGGTCTCTAAAATGAACCATCATCAGCGAACAGTGCTGCATCTACATTTTATGGTTAATCTGTAATCATAATATTAAAATCACATTGTTAATAACACTACCATGTAGAGTACCATTTTCAGTCCCATGCATACCAGAAAAGTCTTGACCAGTGCGAATTTGAATAGCCCTATTAGACGAGCGAATCCACCTGAACATGCCATTTATAAAGTGGTCAAAGGTAACACATGTTACTTCTGAGTAAAGTACAGATTCTAATACTTTTGGGGGTTGAGTCCCATCCGGGTTTCGAACCCTAACTGCCAGAGTAAGGTTCCTAATCGCCGGCCTTACAAGTCACGAAATGCTTTTTCAACATCGAGGAAGACGCACAACATATACTCTTGATTGCATGAAGCTCTTTGTGCTTCAGCCTGGAGTCGTACATGATGGTCAGTACATGAACGTCCCAGTTTAAAGCGTGACTGTATTCTTGAGATAAGCCTGTTCTTTTCAAGAAAATAATTCAATCGATTTGTGACTAATCTTTCCCCAATTTTACATGGATTTGAAGTTAGTTAAACTGGTCTGTATGATGCAGGCATAGTTGGGTCTTTCCCTGGTTTTGGAACTTTAACAATGATGGCAGGTGTCCAGACTTCAGGAACAGTCCCAACATATATTTAGATCTCGGATAATTGAAAGAGCAGAATCAGGTAAATGCGCATAACATAGGTCATCCACCTTGACGAGCTTCTACCCCATCCATCTTTTTGAGATTCTATCCTATCCACCGTCTACCCATCCACCTTGACGATCTTCTAACCCATCAACCTCTTCGAGCATCGAACTCATTCGCCTTGATGAGCTTCTACCACACGCTTCTACACCATCCATCTTGTCGAGCTTCTATCCATCCACCGTGACGATCTTCTAACCCATCCACCTTATCGAGCATCTAACTCATCAACCTTGTCGAGCTTCTACCCAATTCACCTTGTGGAGCTTCTACCCATCTACCTTGACGAGCTTCTACCCCACAAACAATGACGAGCTTTTATCCCGTCCACTTTGACGAGCTTCTATCCCGTGAACCTTGTTGAGCTTCTACACCATCCATCTTGTCGAGCTTCTTTCCATCCACCGCGACGATCTTCTACCCCATCAACCTTGGCGAGCGGCTACCCATCCACCTTAACGATCTTCTAACTCATCCACCTCGTCGAGCTTCTACCCATCCGTCGTGACGAGCTTCTAACCCATCAACCGAGACGAGCTTCTGCCCATCCACCTTGACGAGCTTCCACCCAATCCACCATGACGAGCTTATACCCCATCGACCTTGTCGAGGTTCCACCCCATCTACCTTGTCGAGCTTCTACCCCATCGACCTTGTCGAGCTTCTACCCATCAACCTTGACGAGCTTCTACCCCATCCACCTTGACAAGCTTTCACCCTATCCACCATGACGAGCTTCAACCCCATCGACCTTGTCGAGCTTCTACACCATCGACCTTGTCGAGCTTCCACCCCATCCACAATGACGAGCTTCTACCCCATCGACCTTGTCGAGCTTCCACCCCATCCACCTTGTCGAGCTTCTACCCATCGACCTTGACGGTCTTCTACCCATCGACCTTGTCGAGCTTCTACCCCATCGACCTTGTCGAGCTTCCACCCCATCCACCATGACGAGCTTCTACCCATCCGTCGTGACAACCTTCTACCCCATCAACAGTGACGAGCTTCTACCCATCCACCTTGACGAGCTTTCACCCCATCCACCATGACGAGCATCTACCCCATCGACCTTGTCGAGCCTCTACTACATCCACCTTGTCGAGCTTCTACCCATCGACCTTGTCGAGCGTCTATTCATGCACGTTGACAAGCTTCTAATCCCATCCACCTTCACGATCTTCTAACCCATCCACCTTGGCGAGCGTCTTCCCATCTACCTTGACGATCTTCTAACCCATCCATCTTGGCGAGCGTCTTCCCATCCACCTGGGCAATCTTCTAACCCATCCCCCTCGTCGAGCTTCTACCCCATCCAGCTTGACGAGATTCTACCCCATCCGACTTGACGAGTTTCTATCTCATGTGCCTTGTCGGTATTCTACTCTATCCATCTTGTCGAGCTTCTATCCCAACCCCCTTGACGAGCTTCTACTCTATCCATCTTGACGAGCTTCTACCCCATCCACCTCGTCGAGCTTCTACTCAGCCACCTTGAGGAGGTTCTACCCAACGAACCTTGACGGGCTTCTACTCATCCACTGTGACGAGCTTCAACCTATCAAGCAGATCTGGCTCCGATTGACTGCCGCTTGTTTTTCAAATTAAGACATAATTAAGATAGACTAGGTATTTGTTGCTGCTTTAGGGAGCTGGTTGACAGACAGGATTTGACGGAATAACGGACCTGATAGATGGAACAAGTGTACTGAACTGCAATGGGAAAATGTTGATAAATAAATTAAGCGCGTTACAAAATGTTCGGTCATCAACCCATAGTCATCATATATATAAATATATATACATTGAGAATGTTCTATCTCTGCGTTTAGCAATATTCCAGCAGTGTCAGTGTGACGGATACCAGAAATTGGTCTCATGCAATATACCCATATTGGGAATCGAACCTGGACCTTCAGAATGACAAACGGCTGGCTACTCCACCACCATAAAGAGGAGTTTGACATGTGCGTGTCCATATTAAAGAATCGCAATGAAACAGTCCACTCCGCAACAAGTTCATAACAACTAAACAATCATTGTAAATATAAAACGCCAGTACAAGAGAAATAACCAGTCTTGATTATCCGAAGAAACACATTGCATTACCGCAAAGGGCAATATTTCTGTGAAAGAACCGAATTGCATCAGGTATCTCTACCCTGTCTTCAAATAAGTTATGATCAAAACCAGTAAACTGAAACTTTGAAACAAGAAGTCCTTTCAGTGCTAGAGTATTTTACTTTGCGACCAGATTGTAGCTGTGGCTACCCTGTGGACCACGATAAGTCGGGTTAAGTATGTCACGTAATCAGATATGTTTGAGTAGTGACACTTCCACTTTACACATATTTCAAGTGTTTATTCAATTCTAAAGAGGAAGAGGCACTAATGCCGGATGCACGTCATTGTGAAAACGGAAGAATGATATCCACAATTACACTGACGCGTTCAAACTAGGTTATAAACCACGTCTATCTGCAGTGTGACACTTTTCATGAGCAGTGATCATGATGCGTTGTCTGTTTGTGTCGTGGTTATTTGTTTTTGCTGCCTGTGCCACCAGCATCCCTGAAGATGACAAGAGACCGAGTAGTATTGTAGACAGTTTGTTCAACAACATGCTACGACTGGAACGCACTGTGGCAATCATGTCAACAGAACTGAAGAACATGGCATCAATGCAAGAATCAATGAAATCTGCTCTTCAGGACAAAGACGCATTGCTGGCCAATATTACACGATCACTTGGTAAGTATAGAAATGTTGACCCGCTAGAATCGCATGAACTGACCAGGGTGAAAGTTCTGAGAACTATCCGAAAGTACTATTTGTTGGAAATGGATAGAATCGTCTGCAGGTATGAACGGTAATGCAATAAAGCAAACCTGTACATAAGTCGAAGCTTAACTTGTGATACGGTGACATTTCTTATAGTAATCATTGCAGTCATGGTTCGCAACCGTGGTCTTGGTGCCGTTGTGCAAAACAACCTTAGTGCTACAGCTATCGTAAGTCTATGTTAAGGTGGGGCGGTCGGCTAGCCTGGTGGTAAAAGCGTTCACTCGTCACGCTGAAGACCCGGGTTCGATTCCCGACATTGGTACAATGTGAGAAGCCCATTTCCCCCGCCGTGATATTGCTTGAATATTGCTAAAAGCGGCGTAAAATCAAACTCACTCACTGTGTTAAGGCCTGGGAGTTATGATCACCTCAGGGCTATGATCGCTTTGTACAGCGGCAGCCTGGTGGATAGAGCGTCTGCCCAGGGAGCGGAAGGTGTGTGCCTGTCCTTATGCAGCAGCCTCAAGACCTCAGACCGTTTCCTTGATCAGTGTAGACAGACAAACTTTCACATTTATATTTATGGATGTAATGCCATCGTTCTTGAGGACATGTTCGGATGTCCGCATCAGATACATCTAAACAACGAATTCATCAAACACGTTCCTCATAACATTGACTATTATAGCATTGGGGGAATTTACGTAAATGTAGATATGAATATGAATATTACATTAATAAATATATATTTAGTTCGTATCAGATACATTCTATGTACATAAGATACATTCAACCAATTCACAATATTCGTTTGAGCCTCAAACAAGTTTTGAGATTCAAGGATGAACTAGACTGCTAAATTGCATAAATACTTTGTTTTCAGCGGCTCAAGCAACTGACGTAGCATACAGCGTGTCCCTACAGACAGACATCGACCAGATTGTAAAAAAGCCTCTTACATTTGACACCGTGCTGTACAACAAAGGTGATGCTTACAGCAAGGCTACTGGTATATTCACAGCCCCCGTGTCTGGCACATATGTCTTCTGGGCAAACGTGATGGTAAAATCTAGCGCCTTTATGGCTATCCGCATCTTTAAAGGAGACACGATGTTTGGTCAGGGTTATATCGAGGGAAAGATGCATGGCGTGGCATCCACCACAACTACTACCCATCTGAACCAAGGAGATCAGGTCTGGATGCATGCTCACATCGGTTCAAACACCATTCCTCTGAGGGGAATCGCACTTTCAGGTTATGGAGGAACGCTCATACATGCTGATTAATGGAGCTGGGATTTCAGTGTCAGCGCGTTGTACACTGTTACCTGTACATGAATACATATGTTTTATTCAATTGTTGTTTTCTCTCTCTGCTTATCATTAGTGAGTGTTTGCATGTTTGTATGTGTGTTTGTTGTTTAACGCCGCACTCAGCACACAAGCACTTCAAGCGGTCTGTAAATAATCGAGTCTGGATCTGAAATCCTGTGATTGACATCATGAGCATCAATCAACGCAATTGGGATACGATAACATGCATCAACCAAGTCAGCGAGCCTGACCACCCGATCCCATTAGTGCGTGAGGTTGTGTTTAACACAGTTACGTCATTGTGCGTCAGCTCGTGGCACAATGCGATAAAGGTGGGGCGAGCGAGTGGGTTTAACTCCCCTGTAAACTGTATAAAGTTGTATCAATTGGCGGCAAACAAGTGAGAATCAAAACGGTAATCTGAGTCTGTGTTACGTTGTAATTAAAAGCGACAAAACTATTTCCATATGCTTGAGAAATCGATTGTCCGATTCCAACTATAGTACGTGTTCATGCAATACTATAAAAGAGTAAAAATACCAGCTGTTCGAAAAAAATGTGATTCTGAAAGTCGTGTTATTGGAGGGTGCTATCGACAGAACTGCGTACCCTTTTCGTCACACCCCTTTTCATCACTGATTTTCAGTGATCCATTTATACAAGTTTCGTCTCTATTTAGTGTGTGAGTGAGTGAGTGAGTGAGTGAGTGAGTGAGCTTGGTTTAACGCCGCTTTTAACAGTTTTACAGTAATATCGCGGCGTGTCAGCTTAATGTGGGAGGAAAGCCCAAAGTGATGCAGGTCTCAGACGTTTACACTTCGGTGAAACCAACGAGCACGGGTATGGTGCTGACAAACCTAGAAACACAATCGGGGTGAACCGGGATTCGAACCCACAATCATAGCTTTCTGGCGTGCCAAAGGGACGCAACTCTGCACAGCGAATCACGGCGCCTCCGACGATTGGGCCACTCGTGCCCCCTCTGGATTTAGACATAGCCATATTAATTGTGTTATCTTTTGAACCCTTATTGTTAAAGTATTTGTAATTATGCATGTGATACTATAATGAACGTTCTTACATGTATCAATCATATCATAACCATTGTTACTAAACTGTTTGATTCAAAAGTTCTATTTTTCGAATAGGTCTGCAAGATAAGCTGAAAATGTCTAATCTGAACTGTCGTTACGGTACATCTCCAATAGTGATCATTACATTCACACATTCACACATTCACACATTCACATAATTAACCCATTTCCATGTTATGTCAACCTGGCAGTAAATGACTTCTCTCAACACAGCGATGGTGTCTCCTTTGAACAAAAAGTACGTATCATAATCTCCAGTAAATCCTATTGACAGAATCAATCAAATTGGAGGAAAGCCTTTGAAATTTGACACCGTCTTATATAACAAGGGGAATGCTTATAATAAGGCTACTGGCATATTCACGGCCCCCGTGTCTGGCACATACCTCTTCTGGGCAAATGTGATGGTAAGATCTGGCGCCTACATGGGTCTCCGCATCTTCAGAGGAAGCACGATGATTGCTCGTGGTTATATCACTGGGCAGGTACATGGCGTAGCATCCATCACCACTTCTACACACTTGAACCAAGGAGACCAGGTCTGGATGGATGCTTATGCCAGGGCAACAACCATTCCGATGAGAGGAGCAGCATGTTCAAGTTATGGAGGAATGCTCACACACGTCAATTAATGAAGCTGGGATTCCAATGCCCTTGCAGTGTACACTGATGCACAAACATGAATAAACATACCACATAAAGGAGTTTTTTCTGACTTCTGATCATTAATAATAGTGAGTGAGTGAGGTTTGTTTGTTTGTTTGCCGCACTCAGCAATATTCCAGCAATACTACGGCGGTCTGGACCAGACAATCCAGTGATTGATATCATGAGCATCGAGCCACACAACTGGGATGCGATGACATACATCAACCAAGTCAGCGAGCGTGACCACCCGATTCCGTTGGTCACCTCTTACGACAAGCGTAGTTTTCTTTTATGGCAAGCATTGGTTGATGAAGACCTATTCTACCCCGGATCTTCATGACTGAGCACAAAAGTGGAAAGAGTGAGTGAGTAACGTTTCAGTAAACAGTATTGTTATATTGTTATGGAATTAGACGAAGGTAAGTCAGTTATAAAACGTTTCCTTTGGAATACCAGAAGGGACATTGTCACGTTGTCGCATTGTCGTTTTGTCGACCTTCCAAAAACAAGCAAAAAGTGTCAAAATAAACCAAAGCACGACAATGCGACAACGCGACATTTTTCAAGGTCAAAATATGTCGCGTTATCACATTGGCGCCCCATCAAAAATGTGTGAAAAAAGGCGTTAAAATGCGCGACAACGTGACTATTTTCATAATGTTGCATTGTCGCGTTGTCGCCCTTTTCGATTAATGGTGCGCATGCGAAGTAAGTGAATTCATCTACGCATGCGCCGAAATGGTTATACTCCTTTTCAAACTCCAGTGGTCTAATGGTCCAGTTCCAATCGTTCTAAAACCAAAGTAGCAATGACAATGTGGTTTGCTTGGAGACCTCCTCTAACCCGGATCTTCACGGGTACAGCACGTAAGTAATACAGCCCGGATAATGGTCCAGGGTGTAAGTATACAGTGATACACAATCAGCCAGGTTAAACATTGCTTACACCAGATCAATACCTGGACGCCTCATACCAAACGACGTTAAAAGATGGTTCTTGTAGTAAGTTTTAGACAATCCCCCACCCCTCACTGAGTGAGGATTTAGATATTTAAAAAAAAATGCTGGACCCGCCCTTGTCAGGGTCCACTGATCTGGGCGTGAAATATAATATTCGTCCCGATTGTGATTCGTCAAAACCACGGCTGAGTCACTTCAATGGAAATTTGTATGTTATTTATTCTGTCAGCATCATCACATAAAACTTTGAATTTGACACAGTGACACAACTCACAACTATTCCTTCGTTAGATGATAGTTCCTTGCACCAAATAACCTTTCTTTACTGCAGTTTAACACTTTTTATGAGTTATTAAAGTAGTGACTTAAGGAAGTTGCTCGTTGATCCAGACAAAGCTTTGTTGCTGGTTGAGTAGAGTAAAATATCATTCATCAGAGTAACCTATTTCCATAAAGATGGAGCCTTGATGATCAAAACACGTCCGACGCATGACCAGTTGGTTATAACGAACTGAAAAAAGAGAAGAGCGAAATTGCAGTTGAGACTTAAGTAACCCGAATTTAAGACAGTACAAGTGCCGAATACACCAGGAAGCATTTACACTTACACACCATTACATTACTTTAGTCATTCAAGTTTCAGCCATCGAGAAACCTGAATGAAACAGGCTGTTTATATATTACATCAGCAGAGCTGCTTTTACGTCACCTCGGGCAGTATAGAGTACGACCGGAGTTGCTTCCCTTTACATACACCCTCGTTTACATCCTTCTGTTGACTCTTGCAAAGCTGCTTCTGTGTTTGATTTTTCATGTTTTATGTCACCCACTAATACAATCCAATTGGTGCATTTGAGCCTTAATCAAAGACAGGGTTAAAGTTCCCCGTGTTACTCTAATGATTCATAATGACTTAAAATATAATCTTGTGATAATAAAAAAAATGATGCAGTATCTTTGTCAGTATACAATGAGCAACCCATGCTTGCCGTAAGGCGACAAACGAAGTTAGGTGGTCAGACTCGTTGACTTGGTTGATGCCTGTCATCGATCCCAGTTGCGTGGATCGATGTTCATGATATCAATCACTGGATTGTCTGGTCCAGACTCGATTATTTACAGACCGCCGTCATATAGCTTATGAAACAAACAAACAAACAAACACTATACAATAAAAGGAAATCATCAACTAATACAAGATAATTCGTGTGCACTACATTTCTCTCCATTTATGGGTGTATTAGTATTTGGTGTCGCTTCCTCAATAGTTCGAGTGTGATTGCTGAGTAAGTATTGAAGAGTGCATTGTTTGACGAAAGGACGCACTGGCACTAAAACAATCGAGCATATATCACACATGTATGTGACTTTGCTTTCACAGCAAAATGACACGACCCATACATATATTCAATAATTAAACTCCAAAATTGAACGTGTTTATTTTGAAATACAATTGAGAATCATATATCATTCGGTTAGATCAACTAGCAATATTTAGTGTTTACATATCGTTCCCGGTTCGTTATATGCTAAGTTTGCATTTAGAAGCCATTGATTCATGGTTTCCATTTGATTTTCAAATATATTTAGTGATCAGTGTTCGCCTTACAGATCAGTATATCAAAGAACACTTGTCCATTAGAAATCTAAACTACACTGTCGAAGCCTAACTGATTAAATGATTGAGTGACGTTCAATTCCGCAATCAGCAGTATTCCAGCCATACTATGGCGGCCTATACAAAGTCATTACCTGGACAAGATAATCCAGTGACTGGAAACACGAGCAACGATCTTCAGCATCCGGGCAGGATAACACATCATCATCCCGACACAGAGTCTGGTCCCCTTTAGATGTCCAGTACGACAAGTATGGGGAACTGGAGGCCTATTCTCCCCCGTATCCTCATGGGTAGGCAAATGAAATATAAGTCAATTAATATGTTCAAAATTTATCATCTCAACCAGTTCCACATCATATAACTGAACATAACACGGCTGATCCGATTCGTATATACATAACCATTCGCCAGTGTTCATTTAATTACAACCAGCAGAAATAGAGGCTGCATACCGTTCGATAGACAGCTGGGCCTGTTCTTGTCAGAACAAGTCTCTGTGAGGACAAACGGAATTCAGTTAAGATGAAAGATATCCTTAAAGTTGAGATCGCGAGAACCCGAGATTTTGGCCAAGGGACATTCTCGCGATCTCGCATTCTCGTGGTTTGGGCATATTTTCCTCGTTTCCAAAGGTCGAGATCGCGAGAATGCGAGGTCACGAGAATGTCCCTTACAGTATTCCATAATCAACTGACAAATTCATGTGCACTTCATCTCCCA